GTGTCCCCCGCTTAAGGAAAAGTAAACCATGCGCAGTTCGGGGGTCGGGGATTCGGATCCCCTTCGCTGAATTTGTAGAATTATTAAATGTATACTGAAGCAAATAAGATATGCCAATATGGATATAAAGGTTTGATTATTCTTTATTATGTGTGTAGAAGATTCTTTTTATAAGGAATATTTATCACACTGTAATGATGATATTATGAGTTTGTACAAGCCAGACCTCATAAATTTTTCATTTCACATACTGAATACTATTGTTTAGTAAAAAAAAGAAAAGTATTTCGAAACAAGAGGCCCAAGGGACTTGAATCACTCTTCTGATAAATTGTACAATCTATCACTTCTATTAGAAGCCTCCAACTCTATTAGTATCATAAGACCAAAAATGCATCAACTTGCAAAGTTTGATAATATTTAGCCAGTTAAGACTGAAGATATTATAATACAATTATAAAATACCATAAGTAGGTCACAGTGAATCAAAAGTAGGTCACCATGACCTACTTTTTGGTCAACATTCTCTGAAAACCCAAGATGCATCATCTGACAAAGTTTGACAATTCTAAGCCAATTAGTACCAGAGATAATTAAATATAGCCATCAAATGTCAAATGAAGGTCACGGTGACCTACTTTTTGGTCGACCTTATCCAAAAACCCAAGATGCCTAAACAGACAAAATTTGCTGATTCTGAGCCAATAAGTACCTGAAATATTCAAAAGTAGGTCACCGTGACCTACTTTTTGTTGGACATTCAATGAAACCATAAGATGCCTCAACTGACACAGTTTGATGATTCTGAGCCAATAAGTACCAGATATAATTAAATATAGCCATAAAATGTCAAAAGTAGGTCACAGTGACCTACTTTTTTGTCGACCTTCTCCGAAAACCCAAGGTGCCTAAACTGACAAAGTTTGATGATTCTAAGCTAATACGTACCTGAGATATTCAAAAGTAGGTCACGGGGACCTACTTTTTGGTCGACATTCTCAAAAAACCCAAGATGCCTCAACTGACACAGTTTGATGATTCTTAGCCAATAAGTGTCTGAGATACTTAAATATAGCCATAAAATGTCAAAAGTAGGTCACTGTGACCTACTTTTTGTTTGACAATCTCCGAAAACACAAGATGCATCAACTGACAAAGTTTGATGACTTTAGGTCGATAAGTACCAGAGATACTTAATTATAGCCACAAAAGGTCAAAAGTAGATCACCATGACCTACTTTTTGGTCGTCACTCATCGAAAACCCTAGATGCATCAACTCACAAAGTTTGATGATTCTGAGCCAAAAAGTCCTGGAGATACTTAAATAAAGCCATAAAATGTCAAAAGTAGGTCATTGTGACCTACTTTTTGGTCGTCACTCTCCGAAAACTTAATATGCCTCCACTCACAAAGTTTGATGAATCTAAGCCAATAAATACCTAAGATACTTAAATATGGCCATAACATGTCAAAAGTAGGTCATCGTGACCTTCATTTTTGTCGACATTTTTCAAAGACCCAAGATGCATCTACCTACCAAGATTGATGATAATAGGTCTGAAGGTAATCAAAATATGCATTTTAAACCATTTGAAAACAAATGTCGGCAAAATTCAAAAAGTAGGTCACAATGACCTACTTTTTAATGAAATATGTTTTAAGGTCCCTAGATGCATCGAAGTACAAGATTTGATGATTCTAAACCTCCCAGTGTCTGAAATAATGGGATTTAATGTTTTTAAAAGGATAAGTCATAAAGTTCAAAAAGTAGGTCACGGTGACCTACATTTAAGTTGACATTGTTCGAGGACCCTAGATGCATCAACTGACAAAGTTTGATGATCATAGGCCTTAAAGTGTCCAAAATATGCCTTCAAATCTATTTGAAAACAAATCCCCGCAAGATTTAAAAAGTAGGTCAACGTGACCTACTTTTGCGTTAACATGATGTGAAGTCGTAAGATGCATCAACTTACAAGATTTGATGATCCTAGTCCTTATAGTAAGCAAAATATACACGTTTTTATTAATTATAAATTTAGGTTAACTTTGAAGTGACCTTGAGACCACACCCTTTGCCCCAGGGTAATTCCCAGTGCAAATTTTAATCTTCGACATATCCTGATCCTTGTATGTAAGTTTGGTGAAAATCTGCTTGGTGGTTATGGAGAAGAAGATTTTTTAGCAACCAGTACTTTTGGTTTTGTTTTCCTGATTATCTCCCCTTGTTTAAGGGTCCCAACCCTTATTTTAGTATAAATGGTAGCCCTTGGGCCAAGGATACCCTGTGACAAATTTGGTACCTATTGGCCAAGGGGTTCCTGAGTTATGGCCCATATTCTAAAAAGTTTATGCACACAGCACAAATGGCCATAGCATTAGCTCTTTGAGCCTTTGGCTCAAAAGAGCTAAAAAAATGGATCGTCCGAGATGGGATCCCGGGCCCTCTCACATGTGAAGCGAGAGACATACCACTAGACCACGGAGCCGCTGTAACATAGCGACAATTGTATACAAACATAAAGTGACATACTGTCAAAATTTTACACAATGCATGGTGTTTAATTTAACCTTTATTAAACAGTTCTAATAGATGTAATAAGAATATAGAGTCAACCGAGAACCTGTTTTATACGTAATAATTCTACTGTTCCTGTGCTAAAAATAGTGATAATACAATAAATACTAATAGAACAAACGGGGCGGGGCACTTTGAGAGGAGTGAGAGAGGTCCTAGGGAGTTTTGGTATAAAATTACCGGTACATAGCAAAAGCTCAAAATCTTCTTGAAATATCACCCGAAAATGATATTGTTTCATACAAACAGAATGTATAAATTTGAACTTTGACTTTTTCACCTCAAAATCAATAGGGGTCTTCCTTACACCACAAGGAGTTGTTATGTAAAATATCATTGCAAAAGCTTAAAGGGTTCTTGAGATATTGTGTGGAAACAAAAGTGTTATAATAGACATAATTTGCTATTTATGACCTTGACCTTTGACCTTTTGACCTCAAAATCAATAGGGTTCTTTTTTAGTCCACAGGGAGTTGCTATGCTAAATTTCATTGCAAAAGCTCAAAGGATTCTTGAGATATCGTGTGGAAACGAAAGCGTTACAGACAGACAGAAAGACGGACGGACGGACAAACCCAAATTAATATCCCCCACTTTTCAAGCCGGGTACAAATAACTTTCAACATGTATTTGACAGGCAGCTTTTCTTATAATTCTGTGAAAAAGTTGGAATTTCAATCAGCAATGGTTACTTTAATTTTTCACTGTTTTGAATGAAAATTGTTAAATTGATCAATTTATACTGATCTATTCATTAAGGAGATACATGTAGCACATCTTAGATAACTATTATAAAACACATACCATTTTAATTTAATATGTTTTCACAGTCATAAAAATTCATTCGAACTTAATTTGAAGTGTAATTTGGCATATTAGCGAGACAAAACTTTGAAATGAGTTATAAAACAATTAGTTTTTATAAAATTCAAGCATTAAATGAATTATACATGTAGGACTTTTTTCAAAGACTTGTTAAAGAATCCAAAACATCGGATTTCGCTTTATAAAATATCGTATCGTATAAAATTTTTTGCTCATAAACAGCCCTATGAGTGAAGTACGAGCCACATTGGATCAAGGGGAGAGAAGTTATGCTCCGTACAAGGATTTTTCAGATAAATCTGCTATGACCTTAACCTTAAACCTAGAAACATTGTTGAAGGTCAGTGCACACCCTTTACCCAAGGGCACTCTGTGGAAGGAGTATGAGCAAGATTGGGCCAAGCAGAGAAGATATGCTCTGAACAAGAGATCTCTGATGGACAGATGGACAGACTGATCACTATAGGGCACTCGCAGAGCAGGCCCCTATAACTTATTAATTACTGGTAATCTAAAATTTGACATGTGCAAATCTCTTTGAAATTTCATAAGACCAAAGCTTAATAATTCCACCTATGGGAAAAGTGCAATTTCTCTTATTGAAACAAAAGAAAAAAAACTTTTTATTTCTTATAAATTGCTGTAAACATTTTGTATATCATGAAGAAAGTGTATTCTCTTTATTTTATATCATTAATAAGGTAAATGCACATTTGGCTATATCATCTCAAATAAAGGTCACACTAACCTACTTTCAATGTGCAACAAATTGATAATGCTAGATGTCATGTTATTTTAGCTAACAAACAAGAAGCCCATGGACCCCATCGTTCACCTGAGTACATCTGATAAAAATAAAGCAAAGTTCAGTTAAGTATTGAAGAGTTTACATGGAAATGGAGGGGGGAGGGGAAGGATTGAAATTTAGTTTTATTTAAATTACCTGATGATGCGTCTACATCAATATTACAAATGGCTTTGCTGTTCTTGAGCATTAGATTTTTTCCTGTTTACCAGAGTATTCATTTGCAAAAATATGGCCCTATTGTGGCCCACCACTACGTGAAATGAATTCATACAACTGTATGCTTTACTGCATAGAACACATTTCATAATCATGGGGTCATGATTTGAACAAACTTGAATCTACACTACCTGCACATGATTTCACATGAGTTTCATCTTTCCTATCTCAATTGTTCTTAAGAAGAAGATTTTTAAAGATTTTTCCTATATATTCCTATGTAAAACTTTGATCGGCCATTGTGGCCCCACCCTACCCCCAGGGGTCATGATTTGAACAAACTAGAATCTACACTACCCGAGAATGATTCCATATAAATATTACTAACCATGGCTTTAAAGTACTTCAAAGAATATATAAAAAAATTTCCCTATATATTACTATGTAAAACTCTGATCAGCTATTTTGGCCCCACCCTACCCCCGGGGGTCATGATTTGGACAAACTTGAATCTACACTACCTGAGGATAATTTTCACATAAGCTTCATCTTTCCTGTCTCAATGGTTCTTGAGAAGAAGATTTTTAGAGATTTTTCCTATATATTCCTATGTAAAACTTTGATCGGCCATTGTGGCCCCACCCTACCCCCAGGGGTCATGATTTGAACAAACTAGAATCTACACTACTTGAGAATGATTCCATATAAATATTACTAACCATGGCTTTAAAGTACTTCAAAGAACATATAAAAAATTTCCCTATATATTACTATGTAAAACTCTGATCAGCTATTTTGGCCCCACCCTACCACCGGGAGTCATGATTTGAACAAACTTGAATCTACACTACCCGAGAATAATTTTCACATAAGCTTCATCTTTCCTGTCTCAATGGTTCTTGAGAAGAAGATTTTTAGAGATTTTTCCTATATATTCCTATGTAAAACTTTGATCAGCCATTTTGGCCCCACCCTACCCCAGGGACTTGAATCTACACTACCGGTGGATGGTTCCACATTAGTTTCATCTCTCCTGGCCTAGTGGTTCTTGAGAAGAAGATTTTTAGAGATTTTTCCTATGTATTCCTATGTAAAACTTTGATCGGCCATTGTGGCCCACCCTACCTCCAGGGGTCATGATTTGAACAAGCTTGAATCTACACTACCTGAGGATTATTCCACATAAGTTTCATTTTTCCTGGCCCAGTGGTTCTTGAGAAGATTTTTTAACAATGCCATTTATTTTTCTCTAATTCATAATTATCTCCATTGGAAAAGGGCGTGGCCCTTCATTTGAACAAACTTAAATCATCTTTACCCAAAGATGCCTTGTAGCAAGTTTGGTTAAAATTGGCCCAGTGTTCTTAAGAAGAAGATGAAAATGTGAAAAGTTTATGACAAGGACAACGACAGACAACTGACAAATTTTGATCAGAAAAGCTCACTTGAGCCTTCGGCTCAGGTGAGTTAAAAAGATAAAATATATCTACACATATAATAAAGCAATATATTTACAATGTTTAATTTTATTGTTAATACTTAGGAAAATGACAATCTTGTTGAGTATTAATAAAACAAGAGGCCCATGGGCCACATCGCTCACCTGAAAAGCTGTAACCATGCAATTCTTAACCAGATTTCCCCCTTGTAAAACCTATTGTGACCCCATCGTAACCCAAGGGTCATGATTTGTACAATTTAGAATATAAATTATTCCATGATGCTTCCACATAAGTTTCAGCTTTTCTGGCCTAGTGGTTCTTGAGAAGATTTTTAAAGATTTTTTCTATATTTTTTTCTGTAAAACTTTGATATCTTATTGTGGCTCTACCCAACCCCCGTGGGTCATGATTTGAACAATTTACTAGAATCTACACTATCCCAGGATGCTTTTACATAAGTTTAAGCTTTTCTGGCCTGCTTGTTACTGAGAAGAAAATGTTTAAAGATTCTTTCTATATTTTTCTATGTAGAACTTTGATTCCCTATTGTGGCCCCGCCCAACCCCCCGGGGTCATGATTTCAACAATTAAGAATCTACACTATCCCAGGATGCTTCCACATAATTTTAAGTGGCCTGCTTGTTATTGAGAAGAAGATTTTTAAAGATTTTTTCTATATTTTTTTTATGTAAAACTTTGATTCCCTATTGTGGCCACGCCCAACCCCCCAGGGTAATGATTTCAACAATTTAGAATCTACACTATCCCATGATGCTTCCACATAAGTTTCAGCTTTTCTGGCCCAGTGGTTCTTAAGAAGAAGATTTTTTCAAGATTTTTTCTATATTTTTCTATGTAAACTTTGATTCCCTATTGTGGCCCCGCCCAACCCCCCGGGTTCATAATTTCAACAATTTAGAATCTACACTATCCCATGATGCTTCCACATAAGTTTCAGCTTTTCTGGCCCAGTGGTTCTTGAGAAGAAGAATGACCCAACCCTTTTTTTGTCTTTTCTTGATTATCTCCCCATTTGAGAGGACCTGGCCCTTTATTTAACAATTTAAATTCCCTTCACCCAAGGAAGCTTTGTACCAAGTTTGGTTAAAATTGGCCCAGTGGTTCTTGAGAAGAAGTCAAAATGTAAAAAGTTTACAGATGGACAGACAGACTGACAGACAGCTGGACAGACAGACAACGGACAAAATGTGATCAGAAAAGCTCACTTGAACCTTCAGCTAAGGTGAGCTAAAAACATTAAAACTCTAATCCAGAAAATTCAGAGTAAAAATTCAATTCAATAGCAAAACATACACACAGTATATGGCCAGTCTGTGCAGTTGTGATGATCAGACCTTAACAATGGAACACACCCGGTGAATCGTAAACATTAACAATAACAGAACTTGTGCCCATTTACAAAAACTGTGTATGTTTCACGGGTGAGTTCAGTTTGCTATACTCTGTACATAACACTAAGCTCGGAACAACGATACATGTAAAAGGATTTTGATTTGAATATTTCTACACTGAACACTGAATATACTGTATACAGGGAAATTTTCGCCCCCGTTTAATTTTCGCCCCTTTCACCCTACTCTCATTTGGGCGAATTTAAAACGGGGCGAATTCATAGAATACAGTATAATTTCTTAAAAAAACTATGACTGGGCAATTTAAAACGGGGCAA